TAGAAAAGAGACACCTTTCAAAATACAAGGGTTCTTTCTCAGAGTCTGAACTGGCAGACATGTTTTCGTCATTTTGGTATCCTGTTAGCCGTTTTAGGAAGATATGAGGAAACAAACAGGAAGGACTTCCAGCTATTTTTTCACCACCCATTATTAGGTCATAAAATAAGAGAATTGAGAATAGGATATCAACCTACCAGCTTAATATTTCATCAAACTCTGAGCTTAATATTTCATCAAACTCTGATTGAATTTACATGTTCTAGCCACATTAAACAAACACTTTTAATCTCTTACAGAACCCATAAGAACTAGGATTTTGATAGCATAAGTACAGCATCACACAGGAGCACCAGCAAAAGATGACCAGTGCTATGTGTCATACCATCACAGATTGACTGTTTACCTATGAAAAGAAAATACGCTTTGAGAACCGTAATAATGAATGCAATTTAATTTCCATCCCCTCTCCTGTGCTTGCATATTCCATTATCAGGAAAAGCTCTGCTGATTTGATTCCTTTGCAAAACTATAAGCAGCCCTCTGATGTATTGGTTCAAGTTTTCTAGGAAAAACTGAATTTATTGCCCATAATTGCATGCATGTGCTTTTATCTCTGTCTGAACCTAGCTATGCAAAAATTGACTAAATTAAGTAAATTAAGGATGATATTTAACTGTGAAAGGTAGAAGTGTTCCTTGAGTGAGTTTTTGGGATAAAGATTGACATGAATAAAAATGGTTTACCCTAGCATATATCATTACAAGACAATGTTTTTATCTACATAAAGGACTTTCCAGTATTGAACATCCGAACTGAGCTTAGTTTTGTTTGCCACTAACTGGTATTATTTAAATATATATTTAAAATTTTAATACATTATTTAAGTGGAGCGGGAATGTTCCCAGTCCAAATGGATATGCATATAATTTTCTTGTTTTGTATTCAAGTATTAAAACCTAGTCTTATTCTGAGAAACTGTGCTTTTGAGGGGAAAAATTCTGTAGCTGTGACCTTCCACTTCTGCATACCTCTTCAGACTCCCTTACCTGAGGATATTTAAGAAACTTCAGTTATATAATTCCCTTCAGAAAGAAGGCTCTAAGTCAAACATACTCACTCCTGGGTTGCATTTTAAATGTTCTTTACTTCAGCAAAGTTCAAAAGGTGGAGTACCTTAGAGAGACAGACTTTACACAACCATAAGTTTAAATTTCTGTCTTTAAAATCTATACTTAGTCATCTAAAAATGGAATTGGGTTTTCAAGTGAAAAATGCCTAGTGGTTCCCACAAAAGTCAGCTAAAGCTTACCAAGAGATACACTATCAGTGCTGAGAATGCTTTGGCATCACATACATGTATGGTTCAATCTAGTGAATGGTTTGGAAAAACTTTGATTCTTTCCTTATTTGTTTAGCACCTCTTGAGATCAGCAGGTTTGGGATGAGAATGCTGTCAGCTTCTACACACCTCTTACTGATAATTTAGTACAGCCACTTCTGAATCTGCTTTTTGAATTACTGCTTGTTACAATGCTAATGTTAAAGGAAAGCACTAACGTGCCTTTAAGGCCCTCTTGGGAAAAGCCACAGTCAAGCACAGCTGCAGGTATTTTCTAAGTTCACAGCTCAAACCATCAAGGTTTATTCTTTTAGGAATTCCCAGTCTCTCTGTTCAAACATCATGCTTAAGGGCTTAAAGGCAGCATCTTCTAAGTCCAAGCTGTGTTGTGAGTACATTTTACATACATGTACACACGTTCAAGTACACAGATATATGCACATACAGATATTTACCAGCACATATCAGATATGTAGTTGCACAGATATATGTGTAGTTGCAAGGAGTGGGATGATTAACTTTGCTTTAACTGATCTTTAGTAATCACATTTGATTTTTCTGAATACCATTCAGTAAAAGAGCTTCTACCAAAATAATGTAAGGACAGGCAAAGTTTGGCTTTAGCTACGCAGGATGGTTTTCATGAAAATACTATCATCGGTATTGAATCTTCAATTGAGTATAGACTGTATCTCATTGCTAACATTTAAAATACAGTAGTAAATGTAAAATGCTTTACAAAGAAACAAATACTGCAATAAGTGAAACATGACTAAAGCAATGGTACATGATAATGCATTGGAAACAAACATTTGAGAGGAATATCACAGAGAATTTAACAAATACAAAATTATAAAAATAAATGAAGTCTATTATATAGTAAATATGATGGAATTCAGGAGCATAAGACATTTGAAAATATATACCTCTAAAGACTGAAATAGAAACACAAGTTTTGATACTCCATCATGTGTTGTCATCATCATATATGTAATACTGTTAGCATTTTGGATTCTGAAAGACTTTTTGCCCTCTTTGTACGTATGTAAAGGCTGGAAGTAGAATTCAGCACAGAACTAGGCTAGAGTACGTTTCCCTTTTGTTATTCATCTAATGCTGAGCTTTGTCCTAGTCACAGTACTCTTTATCTATATACTAATAAATGGGGCATTTCATATATTGTCAAAGGTAACAGTAACTTTAGGCCATGCAAAATACAAAAAAACTTTGTAACAGTGTAATAGCAGTCCCTTCTCTTTTTTTTCTGGTATTGTTAAGAATTCCAAAGGGGTAAAAAGAACTCAGAAAAATATTACTTGATGTGTTGGCTAAGTCAGGAAAATCAGATATTATCAAAATCAAAATTATCTGCTTGACTGCATAAGTGAAATGACAATTCTTGGCATTAAAATAAAATCTGAATAATATTCAGTTTGACTTCACATCTTATAATACTTCAGCTACATACATGCCATCTTTTTTTCTAAACTGTTCTTAAAAATTTGCCATATCATGATAGAACAGCTAGGTGAAAAGACTTACTATATTTCTGTTATTCTAGATGCTGAGAATCACCTTTTTTTCTCTTTTTTTTTTTCCCTAATACAAGAACAGTTTATATACCATTTTTACAAGTGAATACTTTTGCATATTCCGAAGTTTTTACTTGTATAGCTCAGCTCAATTTATCTGAACAATTTCCCCTTTAGACTGAACAATCTTGCTAAATTTTAGAAATTTTGTAAACTGCTATTGTAGAGGCAAATGATATATTACTTAAGCAGGAAATCAGCAATGAAAAATACACAAATGCTAAAATTTACTTGACAGTTTTGAATGACTCTTAGAAAATCAATCCCTGGGAAGGCATATGCAATCAAAAGAGGAGTTAAGTCAAACGTTAAGTTTATAAGGTGTCGTGATGCAGCCTAGTTCTAATCCTGGTGAAAAAAAAATAGTATCAAGCTAAAAAGGAAAAGAAAATTCCAGACTAACATACCATTCCACTAAAGTGTCTTTTGTCTCTAAGAGAGACTGAAAAGATTAACAGGTAATTCTTTGGCCTGCAGCTACTACTTCTTATTGTCTGAGAAACAGGAAATGCATCTTCACTTTAATGAAGAAATACTTCATATTTGCACATGTGTTGGGAAGGGCAAAACTACATTACATGAACATTGGAAACTAATATACAGAATGAAATGTAGAATTAATAATAATTCAAATCACAAACACAAAAATCAGTAATACCAATTTTTCTCTGGTATTCAAACCAATGACAATTTCATAATTATTTAACTAAATTGTCATTTGATAAAAAGCCACATTTAAAATGTTCATTTAAAAGTAACATCTTTTTACGTAAGACAGACTGAAATAGGAAATATGTATTTAAAGACTATAATTTCTTTTGCTATATTATTTATAGGGTCCGTATTTCCCAGAATTAGTCAGATGATGCTTTTAAAATGCGTGAATAAGTTAATTCCACATGAATGTTTCACATTTCCTTTATTTAATATCAATTTAGGAATTTGCTTAATTCCTGATCAACATAATAAAGGGATGTCACACACCATGATGAAATGCTGGGCATTTTAAAAAATCGTATTCCTGTAACATAGAGATTAAAGGATTTACCCTAACCTTGATAGATATTTATGCCTGAGGTATTACAACGAGATCTCCTCTGATGTCTTCTCTCTTCCAGGTAAATTTAGTAGAGGAAAAATAAACCGAAAGAAATAGCATAACCACTGTGTCCTGTGTTACCAGCAAAAACATGCAAATTCCTATTTTCTCTAAATATTTTATTAGAAGTAATATATACATATATATACATAGGTTTCTACATAGATTTACTTAAATGTCACACATATGTATAACTATTCTGTTCTTGAAGTAATGCCACACAGTCATACTTCATGCAAGAAAATAATAGGGAGAAAGAGAAAAGGCTATACTGGGTTAAGGAAATGGAATTTTAGTATCTAACTTACATAATGCCTCTACTAAAAATGCCCAGTTATGCTAATTCTCATTGCACTTTAGGCTGAAGGAACTCTTCCTTTTTCTTTATTAACAGAGAATTTGAAAATTAGTACTTTCAGAATTTCATTGGCTACTGGATACACTGATTTCCCAGTAGCTATGCTAGTTCACCTAGAATCCTCTTACTGAAATACCTAGCTATCGCTTTTCTCTTAAAGATGCCATTGTACCAGAAAAAAAAAAATAGAAAAAGAAAAGTTTTTGATAAATTTAATCTGCTATTGCAACACAGTGGTTATCAATATCTGCCTTTCTGTTTGAAAGGTTCTGACAATCAAAAAATTAGTCACATAAATGATTGGATGACTGAAAGGAAACTGAATGGACTCCACTTGTTCCACTCTGGTATATGTTGTCCTGAAAGCAAAACTCTGCCTACCTTAGACACACTGCTGAAATGAATCAGATTGCTCCTTCAGTGAAGTGAGCAGCTTTCAGTCTAGAAACTACAGAGTTCATTATATTAAAATGTATAATTTTAAAATGTATTCTCTAGTAGGTTTTTCTACTTTTGATTCGAACATTGTCTGTAGAACTCTTTTGGGTACAAATCTCAGTATGCATTAAACATAACAATTCAACACTGGTCAGCTGACAGCCGGAATACCTGGGTTGGGGAATAGATTCTGGTTTCTCGGCTCTGGGAGAGAGTATGCTGAGCGTGCCATGACCCAGAGTGGTGGGTTGGTGAAAATCCTCTGTCCTCAGCCACAGTGAAGCTTGGGGCCGCCCACTGCCATAAATCAATCAATCAGTCAATCATTTATTAAACAGGTACTTGCATTTCATAGTTAATATAAAAATGGGCTCTAGACAATGCCTTCTCTGTAAAGATAATCCAGTTTTATATTGCGTGTGCGGGGATTTACCTTAAGTTAATCCACCCTTCCTCTAAAAGGATGATACATTCATCTGGAAAAGGCCTTCTTGATTTTATAGAAATACATTAAGTCCCACTGAAAGATCAGTACAGGAAAATACATATGCACATGAACAATTTGAGAACATGAACAGTTAGTTCCTTCACGTCAAGCCACTCTTTTGAGGAACTTTGATGTTCTGGATTTGAAATTTAGACCTTAATGTCGGGTTTAAGTTCTGCACAGACCTTTTCACCAGACAAATTTTGCCTAAAGACAGCATCTTTTGTGGGGATGTCTGACTGGTGATAACCTTGCCAGAAGAAAATCTAAATGAAGTGTTCCAAGTCTACAAGATAGCATGATGCAATTAATACTTTTAAAGGGTGAATAGGTGTATTTTAATAAAGGACTTTAGTTTTTAAAACCCCTTGCCTAGAGTTTTGAAGTTTATTGCTGGCAATTTTCATGGAACATTTAGCAATAAAGGACCTTCTCACAGAGTCATCCGTTTATTATTCTGAAAGTCACATGAAAAGAGTGTCTTCTAGATCTGGACTGGCTTAACAGCTTTTAAGGCTTCAGGCAATTCTAAATATCTTTTCCAGCCAATGACAGACAAGGCCATCTTCAGAGTGATTACTCTGACTTCATTAAATGCCTATCACAATACTCTTCCTGCTGTAAATGGCATAGTACACACTGAAGGACAACCACCTTTAACAGCCTCCTAGTTTCAAGTAATTGGATGTATTTTTTTCATATAGTAGCTGAATAGGACAAGCATTTCTATTATTCCATGCAGAACAGAAACCTATGATAATAAATGGAAAAGAAAAATCATTCCTACAAAGTCTTTGTGATCTCTGCTTAAATTTTGGAAGACAGAGTAAATGTAAATATAATGAAAGAATGTAAACAGATATTTTGTTCAAGCCTAAGTGGTTAGGCAAAGCAAACCAATTAATAGAAAACATATTCTTCCTGACAGTTCCTTCAGCTTTTTAATATTACACACATTTAATGCTAATTGAAGCTTGTTTTAGGCTAATAAATCTTCTTTCATGTTAAACTCATTTAGTTTCCCTTTTTGCACAACCCTTTTGCTCAAATTTCCTCATGCAATTTAACAAGCTATCTGTGTTTAAGAATAGTTGGTTATTTTCTTGAATATTGAGATAAATAGTCTACCGTCCGCAGCTAATGGAAATCTGCTCTTCTATAGTCACATCTGGGTTTTCCGGGCATCCCCACATCTTCAGCCAGCTAAGCACACTAAAGATTGGAGCAAGGTCTGGTGTTCCTCACTTGGAAATAGGTGCCTTTAAAGAATCACCCACTAGCTCCTTTTGCCTTGCTTGGGTGGCCAGCCATAAGCGGTTCAGGACCTCTCTCTGGAGACTAAGCTGTGCTTACTTCTCTCACTGACAGTACAGGCTGCCCAGATAATTCAAGAAGAGGAGTGTCCCATGCATCTCAAGCACAGGAACAAGCTGGACAGCTACCCCACCTGTCTTAAATTAAGTGCTGAGCCACTGATCCACTCTCTAGCTGTGGGCTGTGTGACTATTAAGAACTTTTGAAAACCAGATTTTAAATGTTAAGGGATGGACCCCTAAAAACAGACACAGATAAAATAAATGATCAATTAGGAAAATGTTAAGTCTTGCTTGTAGAGAACAAAGTTTGAAAATGACATGACATTAAAGTCACTCTTTGGAAGAAAATATTTCATCTACTGATGAAAATCTGCAATGATCACTTCTTTGTTACTTGCTAAGCTTTTGTGGTATTTAGAAATTAACCACACTGAATCATCTAAATACTGCTTACTTGGGATTGAACCATACTTTCCTCTACATGGGAAGTTTTCAGTTTAGATTTCTATTTCAGCTGCTGCTCAGCAAACTAAACTATTTCTTGAGAACTCCACCATGATGAAGCACCTGCGAGACATCTGGCACCTCCTTCACTTCAAGACTGAATTCATTGCTTCCTCTTGTTCTGTCTTTTCAGGACTGAAAACACTTACGCTTTTTACAACTTTTTCTTTTTGGACTGTCTTAGGTTAGTGCCAAATTAACTATACTAGAGAGTGATACTCTCTTTTTTTCCCAAAGCACAAGCCTACGCTGGATGGTGAACACTGCGTCCTCTCTCACAGATCTGAATGCTGACTATTTACCTTCTGTATCTTCTCCGTGCCAGCCCAGCCTAATAAGTCTATGCGTCCCATTAAAGCCAATTCATAGGTATTAACTGGAAATCTTAGTGCACTGGATAGAAGCTGTCAGCATGACACAGCTCTGCAAACACAGTGCTTAAGTTATGGTGACTTAGAGCTTTCCTAGTAGAAACTGAGACCGCAGCTCCAGCTGTGGGAAATCTACCCATCACTCTCCTGAGCCAGAAAAGCTACAGCTTCCACCTGAGCAAGCTTTTTAGTGAACAAAGAGCTATTTGAGAAGAGAAGACCACAGTTTAAAGAGAAGTGCAACTCCTCTTACATTAGCAATTAATAAATGGACACGATGTTCCTGATCCGGCAAACAGCTGAACAAAAGCAACCCACACACCTTCAGTCCTTGTTTTACAAAATCTTGGGAAGCCCAGAACACAATGGGTGCTGCAGACTAGTTAAGCTGTCTCCCCAGGGAAGTTCAGTTAGCTGCAAAAGTTCCAGATCTTGCTTTTGAGGCCTTAGGAAATCTCCTAGGAAATGAATAGGGGCTTCTCATTGCTTTCACTGAGTGCAGGATCAGCCCACTGCAGAGGAGTTCCTGGGTGCCAGATCTCTGAGCTCTCGACGATAGAAGCTGTGTTACTGGCAGGGTTTGTCTGTCCACCTGCACTGCCTTTCTGTTCAAACACAGCATAGGAGCTAGCCTGAAACTCTTTCCAGAAACACTTAAATCCCTTGCTTAACTTGGTTTACCAGTTTTAATATTCTATGCCTTCTGTCTCACTGATTTGTGGAAGAGTTTTGCATTTTTCAGGGTAAAAAATCTAGAGTATCTTCTCTAAAGATATTCTTTGTATTCTGAGCCAAATACACTAGCACCTTGAGACAGGGCATATTGTTTGATTTGGTCAATAAAGTTAATTGAGTCACTGCAGTTGCTGCAAGTTTTGCAGTTTTTGGCTTTGAATTGCCCAGAGAAACAGGCAATTTGGTCAGACACCGAGCAGCACAATAAAATCTGTGCACACAAGTATGCTTTTCAGCAATATAACTGAAGCTGGCACCCTGAAATCTGTCAATTTTGTCTATTTTGTATGCAACAGCCGAACTTGACAGCTTCCTTAGTGGCTGCTCAATTTAGATTTCACCATACAGGCATACAATGTCATCTTGGTAGAAGCTGCTTACCCACAATGGGGTGGGGCTTGGTGTTTTGATGTTTTTACTGATGCAGTCATATAGTTGGACTAAATCTATCAACTACTACTGTATTAGCAGTAAACATATATCATCTTCTTTCCCCATTAATACAAAAGATAATGCTCTTATTCTCTCTACCTCTCCTAATTTACTCTACTGTAAACATATAGCTCAAAAACATACCACAATTCAAACTACTTGGCTACACTGTTTCTCAAACAATACAGTAAGTGCTGTTGCTTTTTCTTACATGCGATGTGATAGTTGTAATTTGCTTCTATCACAGTACTAAATTGTGCCTCTCTATGCCACCAATTCTTTGAAAGTAATTGTATAGATACTTCAACACATAGGAAGAAATTGCTGATGATTAGGCACTGGGATTTTCCTGCACTTCAGAAAGGCTGTGCAAGATATGGCAAAGTGCTGATCATATACTGCCAGCTGTATTGTCACTCATTTTTACTAGCGTAAGTATTTTAGTAGGACAAAATAAAGATTCTGTTGACCAGCTGTGCTTATATTGCATAACTAGCTGATTCCTAGTACAATGTAAACTTTTGTAATTTTCCAGTTACAAAAACACTATTTTCCCAACAGTCATGACACACAGACATCCAGCAAAACAATTGGCCTACTATAGGCAAATTTAATAAATATTATGACTTTGTAAAGATTAGCACATCTTTCAACAAACAGAAGAATCTTAAATTAACTATCTGAACACTTTGAATACAAGAAACTATTTATATAATGCTTGACAGCATATGTAAGGACTTATTAACATATAGGAATATTGCAGAGACTGAACTTCAAGATTTTGTTAAGTCTATAGAAAATAGCTAATCCAGTGATTTTTAAATTACTTCCTGAAAGTATATACAGTCGGAATTTATGCTAAGAATATCCTGTAACCTACCTCAAAGGCTAGCCTACCCTATTTTCCACACCACAAGTTTATACTTATGGCCTCAGAAAATGTTCTTTTAAGCATGCAAGGTATTTAGTACCCAAGCATGCCTGGCATATAAGTACATTACTTGGCAAATTCGCATTGGCAGCCAACAGAATGTCCTTCAGGTAGCAGTATACTCTAAGGCCATACAGCATATAGATTACCTCATGCATGGAGCAACCCCCGAAATTGCTTTTACATACCCAGCATACACATAAAGCCAGAAGGCAAAAAATGAGCCAGACATCATACAAACCTCTAAGAGATTATGGTGTGGTAAAGTTCATCCCCTACAATGCAGCCACCCACATGCCCAGAAGTCAGGCTATGCACACCTCAAGTGTGTGACTGCTTTACCTCAAGAAAAGCCTACTTTAGCTCATGTTTACTTCCACCTCTCAATGGGACAACTGAGTACCAGTCATTACTTGAAATGCCATCACATATGGTATCCCTGGGGCACCAAGGGTGACTGAAACTAATGGAAGTGAACAGTGGGAGTGACTCAGTAACTGTCTTTCGTGCTCCCCAGACTGACACAAGTCAGAGATGAGGCATGTAGACAAACAGCATTTCAAGCAGAAGATCAGCATCAGCCAGTTTGAGATTTGGTGCATAAATTTCACATAGCTAAGTGATTTCCTTGTGCAAAACATACACAGCGTGGACTACACCTCTGTGAACCTTCCCTCACTTAATCTGAGTCTTAACCAGGACCTGAACTTTTCTTCCAGATGAAGCCTTATCTCTCTTTGCTGAGATTACATGTATCAGTTAGATCAGGTGTGAAAATCCACATAGTCAGAAGACATTTGAGAACTAAGTCTTCAGTATGATAGTTGCACTGTCAGTATAGTCACACTGTAACCATACTTTTGTCACTTACTAAGCAGACACTTAAAAAAACAAACAAACAAAAAAAAACTACAAGAAATTGTTTCAAAGGATCATCACCAGCATTGCAATCCATTTTTAAGAAGTTAGCGGGCTGGTGGGAATCATATGGTACTCTCTAAAGGCTGTCTGAAAACTAAGTATATGGTGCTACTGTCTACCAGTTGATTGGAAGTGATGAAGCCACCAAGATTCAGTCAAGCTCCATAAGTACCTAAGCACCACTCCTTCAGATACTCTTGTTGGCAATCTCATGAGGAAATTTGGGAGCCGAAGGGCTGGAAATCTGGTAACCTCCTCAGGGCACTGTGGGGAGGTGTAACAAGGAAAGATACAGCAGGAGAGCTTGCACAGGGTTGTTCAGCATGCAGAGGACTTCACTCTCCAGAGCTGCCGGATCCAGCATTTTCTGCATGAATTCTTTAGAAAATCAAATTCTCAGCCTCTTTTCACCACCACACATTTTTTTAAAGGCATTTCTATGTTAAAATTAAAAACAGGGGAAAAAAAACACATCTCCAAGTCTCTGGAATTTTAAACTCTAGGTGAATTTCCAGTTCATATAAAAGTTTTGGTCTAAAGTCTCTCAGCCCCCAGATTCAGGTAACCACATGAAAGATGACAAGTCTGGAAAAAAAACAAACCCAAGCCTTACCTTCTTGTAGAGACTTCTCAGGTCTCTGTACTGCCACATACTATTGAGGACCTGAGATGCTGCTTTCACCACTTTTGGCGAATGCCTGTTACATACATATATTAAAAAGAAAGAGAGAGAGAGAGAGAAAGGGTGAGAAAGAGACTGTTAAGTGCCAGACTCCATTTATCCAAATTTTCAAGTGCATTGCTATGGATTTAAACCCACAATTAAAGTTGTGTTATCAATGTACCCTAAGATCTTATGTTGGCATCTTGGAGAGCAATGTGTTTTTAAGCAAGGACAATATGCATTATTTCTACCGTACTAATTATTCAGTGAGGAGGAAAATGTGTGTTGATCAGCACACTGAGAACAAGGATTCATGCTGAGAGCATAATTAGAGGAATGGGAGAGGTAGCAACGTGAAAACTGTTGAGGAACCAACTGGCATTATGTACATCTAAGATGTCCTGGTTACAATTTTGGTATAGAGGAGAAGAATTTAGAGCCAAGGTTTTTTTCTTCTATAAATGGCCAAACTTAGGTCATGACAGTGTGCCCAAAGCATTAAGCATCTCTCAGCAGCGGCCAGAAAAAACACTAGATGGGCGATGAGCACCGCGTTTGAAGCTGCAGAGCAGTCAAGATGCAGAAATGCAACTGTTTATAAAAAGTTATGGCAAATTTCATCAGGATTCCCAGTTAGGACTTGTATCTTGCACACACCATGCTATTCATGAGGGAAATCTAATGTATGTCATGTTAAAAACCATGCATAACTTCATGCAAACTTTCTCTTCAAAAAGGTTTTGAAAGAGGCTCTAAGCTACTGTTTGAATCAGTTAGAGTCATTAGAGTCATATACTCCTCTTGGGATGTGTAATTTAAAAAAAAAAAAAAAAGGAAACAACAGCAACATTTGAGTGTACTCAGCTTAGTGAAGAAGGGTTGCAAAGAAGGGGACCAGGAGGATAACACAGCCCATGCAGGGAGCATACACTGTGTACTTAAGCTCTCTTGCTGTACCAGTACGACATATAAGGCAGCCAGAAAACCTTGCAAAGGCCAAATTCTGAAGTGAAGATTGATGGGGTTTGGGGCTGACGTTGAGGAGATTCATATTTTCCTCAGAAAAGGTAAAAGGACTGCAAAACCAAAGAGAAAACCTGAAAACCTGCAGCATTTGTTACTGGTTTGGGCAGCAAGCCTTCTTAAGGGTGAGGCTCTGGTGCACTGTGACCCTTGAGAAGGGACAATGGGAGGCTGACAGTAAAGCTGGTAACACAATGCTTATTTGGTGGATTTCCCCCCCGCCCCATTTCCCACCCACAGTACAGCAATAGATGGGTAATTGGTGAATAAATAGGAATTTGATAAACACTTTCAAGCATAATTGTTTTTATTATACTCCCAGCTGTACTGGCTAGTGGGGTGCTGGTAGCATGGAGTAGCCAGGAAAATAAATGTGCCAACCATACTGCAAGTACTGAGGAGAAACAGGAGCTAGGTGAAGACCTGAGTTTGGCCAATATGACCTTATGAACACCGGTCTGCTCATGCTGTCTCATGCTGGGAGTATACTAAAGCCCTGGGTATATTCCAAAGGCTAGTGGGGCCAGTCCAGCACTTCTGGCACTTGTACATTTGTGTCCTACAGTGCCACCAGGATGCATGGCCAGACCAGTATCCTGCACTTGCAGGTACAGGTGCTTCATCCTAGACAAGAAAAATCCATGCTGAAGTGTTTTACTGTATTAAACTGAGGATACCAGAATTTGCTACCAGTCCAACAACTAGCAATTCTGTTTTTTAAACAATGAGTTACCTGTAAGAAAGCAAACTAAAGCAATGGTGCAAAATACCAAACATTTCTGAAAGCTGAAAAAATGAAACTTTCACTTAAGATGAGCATGATTATAGCTGTGAGTTGACAGGCTTTCTTGTTCTGTAACTGTGTAACATGTAACAGTAATAATGCAACTCAAAGTACTTTAAATGAGGGATAAATATCACAATTTTGGAGGGCATTTGAGAATTATTCAAAACTACCTGGGCTTTCAGTCAACACAGACATGTATTTCAAAGGTATGAGTGATACTTAACAGAGAACTATACCATTAGATCCTCCTAAAACTGCCCATGATACTTTGAAAATCCCAGACTCAACAGGTATTAATAATCTATACCAGATAATGAACAAGTAGACAAATGTATTATTTTGAGGAGAGACACATTCAACTTAAGAGAAATGGGTATGAACCTGCTTGCAATCTATACACTTGATCTGTCAAAAATAAATCAAAAATCTAAATAGATATAGTAATAATAAATAATGCAAATGTAAATAGATTAGCAGAGCATGGGAAGCTCCCACAACTTGAATCAAATACTTTGTTACGCTACTGCTTTTTACCCTTTACAATTAGCATGTGAGAATGTTTCAGTAATGAATTTGGTATGAAAAGAAAGAGTGACAATAGAGGAAAAGAAATGTGATTATATTGGCAATGCTCTGATCACATAGGCGAGCATAAGTTCTCATACCAAATGTAGGGTGCATAAATCTTTCCTTCAGGTTGTGGCCTGGCTTTGTGGGGCTCTTTTAGAGCTCTGATGCTGCAGTAGGCTGTGTGATGACAGCTTCGAGCAGGTGGACTGGACTGATGGGAGGTTTTGTACACTACAGTGAAGGCTTTTTGTTTTCAAACTGCCATAGTCCCATTGCACTATACTTCTGCGGGTTGACAAATATGAGAACCAGGCTATCTGTTTTAGGCAAAAGAAGGATAAAGAGTGAAATCTTCATGAAGAGTGCGTACATAGGAAAACAGACAAGATGAAACCATAGCTGCTCTGACAATGTCACAGTCGTGTAAGACTTTGCATGTTTTGGTGCCTCGCCAAGTAGCCTGCAGTTATCCTAATGCTCTCTCAGAAGCAAGGTGTTGACAAAATCCATGGACCTATTTTTCTACTACAGCCCACCCAACCAGCAAGCCGGTGGTGGCTGGGAAAAGGATGCTGTGAAGAGGGACAGTGACTATACAGTCTTCATGCCCAGAGCAAGAGGAGCAGTAAGAGAACTATGGTGATGTCCCTTCCTTTCACAGGATCCCTCTACCTGCATGTCATCCCTTCTGCAGAGCACAGTTTGACAGCTCTGGTCCCTAATATTTAGCAGGATCTTCTGGGAGTGCTTTGAGGTAGCAGTTACTAGAGATAATTAGTCCTCCTTACACTGCACATACCTGCTGATGGTACATCAAAAATAAACCACAGCAGAGACTTTTGCTGTTGTCGTTGTTTTTTGTCACCCATCACACTGGGTACATGATTTTTGATGAAACTAAAGTATTCAACTCACGATTGCACAGAGGAGGCAAACACATTAAGGACTAGTTAGAACTACTGGAGATGTTAGAAAAGGTGCAAGACAATTTGCAAAACATACTTGTCTCCTTTACTCTTAGATATGCCAACCAGTTTCTCAATGCCGCCTGCGTCTCGTAAGGCCTTGGCATTCTCCATGTTTTTAGTGATGACTTCATGCAGAGTGCAGCAAATGGCAGTAACGGTGTCATCAGACATGGCCTTGCTTGCTGAGCTGTTGCTGTTGTTAGCGCCTGGCAGTCGGTGGACCAGATCCCTCATGGCATACTTGCCTTTGTTGAAAGAAAACGAAGGGAGAATTCAGTAGATACAGTAAAAAAGGGTGACGGTACAGGGAAAACATGCAAGACTGTATTAGCACCATTTTCATCATTGCATGTAATCTAATTGGCTACTGATACTGTTTTGGAGCAAGCCACATTTTTACAATTGCATGTTCAAGCATTTCACACCTTATGGCCTCTGTTAATATTTCCATATTGCATGAGTTGGAGACTTCAGATATGGGCTACATCATGTCCTTATGAGAATGAAACAACGATAATAAAGGCTAAGTATATGTATAAAGACAACCTGAACACCGTAACTTACAGAGCTTGTCAAGTCCTCATCTCCCACCACAGCACTCATCACACAACTAATTATACATAAAATGTGCATCAGTTCTTAAAAATGCTACAGTGAATACAAAGCCAATGAAATTGTTGTTTGAGAAGAAGCCTTCTCTGAAGGGCCAGTTTCACTGTATAAGGTCATTTCTGTACTATGTGCAGCAATTTAACTATGTTTATTGGTGTTCCTATGACTTTACCAGTTATACAATGCCACACTGCACCAACCACAGTGCAGAGATGACACTGGTTTTCCACACGTCCTTAGTTGCATGCATGGTACTGATCACAAAGGGTGCCTTCCTGACATATATTCCTGTCTGATATTTAGTAAGGAGCTATTTTATGTGACACTAGCTTCCAGAACTTAAAATCTTCCACAATGAAAGGAGCAATGCATTTTTAAGATGGTCATGCTAAACTGAAGACACAGAAAAGAAATACTGCTGATTACTCCAACTTCTTCATGTTTAAATGAACAAAGATTATTTTCTTAAAATTGCACCTGAAAGTCATATAGTGCTTGTGAAAATGACAGATGAGAAGCTTCTGAGGATTTATTTGAATGGATAAATGAAGGTAGGGCAGGGTTGGCGCTGGCAGCAGATCGTTACAGCACAGCTTTATGAGGTGCCTCATGCAGTACCAGGATGTTACTGTTGTGGGAAAATGGCAACTCAGTCTTTCATCATGTTGAAGACAAGAACAGAGAGGGTGAGAGCCTGATGAAGTTGCATCTGAGGTCAGTGAAACATCTCTGAGTCACCTTCAGTGCAGCTGTGTTAGGAATTTGCATATAGCAATCATCATAAGAGTACATCATTCAGGATGGAAAAGACAGGAAAATTGGGAAAAATAAATGTAATTAGTAATCTAATCTACATCATGTTTTATGAACGACATAATCAGGTATGTTTATTGTATATAATATGATAATTTAATCAGATTTTTTGGATAACTTTAAAAAGTTCTGATAAATTAGTATATATGAGTACTTATTAAAAATCTTAATTCTGAAGTCATGAATTCCATTGTGTGTCCATATTTGAAAACAGAGGTAAGAGGTAAATCACATCTTTTACCTGTCAAATACTATAATATTTTTATTTTCTCACAATTTTGCCTGCTGTAGAAGAAATATAGCTAGTTATTTCAAACGATATTCATAGTAGAGATGAAAACCAAAATCCTTGTACTGTAATGTTAAACTTAGAGGCTATCAAGTTGATTTCTGTGGTAATGTGAGATCTTAGAAACTACTCGCTTTATATCATGCAGAAGCATTATAAAATCATAACATCACCAACAAAATGTGTGCAGTGGGATTTGAATCTTACCAGTGAGTGTGCTGCAATTCAGATACAAATCTTGTTCTCAGATATTTTTATTTCTTTGCATTTAGTACTTAATCAGTCGTTTGCACTATTAGCTTTTTAGGAATACTATGTTAGTATCAGATGCAGTACAGGTGTTAACACCAATTTCTCTTTCAGGAATAGTTTGTTTGAGCAAACTGCAATTCTTTTTTTGCCCTACAAATATAAGAAATACCGTTCAAGAACAGCCTGTAATGCTATTTACATCTGCATCTGTTTGTTGTATGTAGCATGAATACATTAATAGTTGTTTATTGCTCTTGGTGATTACTTCAGTCTGCAACATATATTAAATCAAGCTTGCATACAAAAATAAACAAACAAAACCAAATAAACATTCAAAAACCCCACAACTCAACAACAAACCAAAGCTATGACTTATTGTAGCTGTTACTCTTTTAAATGCAGTGTCTACCCCCGGCCATTACATCAGTGAGACTCCCTGCTTTACACAGTTATACCTTCCCAGAAGAGACCCATCTTCCTTTCTCCTGTAAAGTGCAGGAGTATTGCAGCCTGAGTCCCCTGGCAGAACTCCATGGTAATCCCCTTAGCAGCCAACAACTGTGTCCCTTAGCACTGGGTATAAGAAAAGCAGGATGGTTGCTGCAAGAAGATTTCTCCATGGAACTGGGCTTGTATCCCAGACAGCAACATTCATACCTGTACACATGCCTAGACACACAAACTTCTCCTTACAATAAATGAAGGCTTTGGAGCTGTCAGGAAAAACTCAGTAGGAAATCTAAAGTAAACAATCAAACATGGTATAAGCATTCTGGACGTGTTACTGCTCAACAGCTCTAATATTTCTGCCATGCACACAATTAACTTTGCCCTGAGAAAACCAAATCAGTATTAGCTACATCAAACCAGCAGACCAGGCTTTCTGTAGTTAATGTGTGACAGTGGGACACTACAGCATCCCTTATTCTGAGCAGCTCTAGTGTTTCCACCTCCAACAGAGCTGCTCGCATGTCCAGGTAAAGCAACTGACTTCAAGAACAGGAATCACTGCTCAAACTGTCCTTCCATACACTCACCAGAAAATGGTGGTAAAACAGACAGAAGGTCAGGGAAGTGGCTTTAAGGTCAATCTATAAAGGCACTGTTCACATGGTCTTAAAATCTATTAACAAGTGTAACTGTTAACTGTTTGAAAATGTATGAGACAAAAAAAAAATATGCCTTAGCCATACAAAACATGTAATTAATTAAATTTAATTCAAAGCCTCTGAACTTATATTGAAAAAGCAGCACCTTTGCTCTAATACAGTTACATCGTGAAAGTTAAGGACTTTACACTGTAGAAAATATTCCACAGTAACTTGTTGCATTTCAAGTGTGTTTTCTAACACCATAGATCTAGTTAATTAATAAATTACTGTGCAACATTCACATCTTTTTTTTTTCTCCATTTATCAGTTACCTTTTCTTATTTCAGTTATGTTCCTGCTGCTTTAAAAGAGGCTCATAGCAAACTCATGTTTTTTAGCATTACCTATAAAAGAAATCCTATGCTAGTTTAGAGTGGTGCAAATGTTGAGCAAAGCCAATGAAAGCAAAGCTACAGCTATATCAGCCCAACACAGCTGACAACAACTGTAAGCCTTGACTTTGGCATTACTGCATGTTACATATGCAGTGCTTGCATTTGGAATTCTTTTTCAACACTAAGAACATTTTTTGGAACCCAACTTAAATGTGTGATGGACACTAGCCTTATAGTGTCGGCAAAGTTTTGTCTAGCTCTACCAGTAGGAGGACTGGGGAATTCAACCTGTGGCTCAAGAAACTTTCCTGAGCTGAAGGAGTGGAAACTCATGACGGTCCTGGGGAAGAGAGGAAGATGTATGTGAGAATGGTATTAAAAACAATTGGCATTGTTAATTTTTGTCAGGATTCATATAGAACGGCTTTGCTCTACAAATAAATTGATTTTTTTTTTTATTTGAGCAACATTGCACATTATAAGACCCAAAATAGATTCAGTACTTTTTAAAGAGGATTTGCATAACATGATTAAACTTAACCACTAGCTTGACAAGGGAAAAAGAAATCATGCTTATTTGTTCCATTTCACTTGTAAAAGAAAGAAAGAAAATATTAAACAGACATAATTTGAGGGCACTGCCACAGGAAAGGGACTGCTTCATAGGAGTTTGGGAGAGCATTTATCTCTACATTTATCACTACAAACTTCCAAGTTATTTTTCTAAGATAAAACTCCAGTCACTGTTTTATATGGAGAGCAAGATTCTTTCTAGAGCATATACTGTGATGTAAAATGGTAATGTTTGCTTTCTAAACACGCCAGCAATACAGATTTAACATACTTCCTTTGCATATAAGGTCTCATTAGCACCTTAGTACATGCATCTATTTCTTAATTCAGGAAATTTTCTCTTCATAGGATCAGACTGATAGCTGTCCTAAGAAGGATTTTGCCTACAGAGAAAATCAGTAGAAGTAACTATTCTTCTGGTAGATTTAACAAGAGCAAAATTATTGTAGAAAAGGTTCCACTTCTGGAACTATTTCCCTGCTGCTCCTTGAGACAAATTCACTGCTGATGTAACCCCACTGACTTCATTTCCATTTCACTCATCTCTGAAAAATGACTTTGACACATTGGCGTATTCCTTATATAGTTGTGGCATGGTTCCTGGTTTGAGAGAACGAGACTAGGAAAATTAATATATTGAAAACACAAGAAACCTCAAACATATTAATTCAAACTAAGAACCTTGTCGTAGAGGTAGAGCCTGCTCTAATATAAGTAATACATCATGATTTTTCCCCCCTCAAAGTTTCCCATGAATTCACACCCTGTAGCTAGATAATAAAACCCAGCAAAATGGCACCATATTTTATCGAATCATAGAATCATTCAGGTTGGAAAACACCTCTAAGATCATCTAGTCCAACCTTTAATTGCAGTTAATTGTAGCACTGCAATGCTACACATACCCTATCCCAGAACTACAGTATTGGAATGCTGCAATATAGAAAATTTTGTTCTCTCAGTTCTAATGTGTGCACTATTTAAATTTCCAGATATTCATGCTTTTGTGCATTTTCATCATCCGCATCCGTTTTTAAGATTATTCAGGCTCAGTATTTCACAGCCTTTTTGGAAAGATTATTGGGAGAGGTTTTATTGTTACTTTCAATCAATATTTAATAAATGTGCCCAAACCTTCTATTTAATTATTATGGAACAAATTCTGATCATGAATCTGTGTATTCGACTGACATTCTAATAAATTAGAGTGTATCCATCAC